TCTCGCGCTAATTCACCAATTCTAATTTCATGAGCCGCATAACTATATTATAAAGATGCAATAGCCGAATTTTAATAAGCATATAAAATTGAAACAAATTATAAACATTAATTGTGTGTTTTTAGAAATTATTTTTCAAAAATTGTTCACTAACAAAAAGATTTTTGTTTAATCAAACGAATTTACTAACGTATAACTATGTGCCAAAACAACAGCAAGACTATCTATTCCTAGGTTATGAAGTGTTTTTAAATCTTCCTTTAATTGTGCCTCATCAAGTTCTTGAATAACGTATAGATCTTCGCCAGTAGAACCTTTTACCTTTCGCCATGACTGATTCTTCATACGACAACTTCCTGGTAGAGCGGGAATTACTCTACATTTTACTCCAATTACATGTTTATACAAAACTTCCGGCATCACTATCTCCTGTAAATATTTAATAAATATTAATTCAAATGACAGAACAAATGCGTTTATAAATTTGTGTAATATACATATACATTTCACGATAAAGTAATATATACTGCAATCTGTAACATTTTTTTCTAATATGAGTACCTATATTAAATTCATACAAACCAAATCAAAAATATTTGGTCGAGACTGATTGCCGATATATAGAAGATCCATGAAACCTTCATTTATTAATAACGCCATTTTCGCGCCTTTTCTTTCTAATAACGCGTTAGTAGCAACTGTCGTTCCCATTCTGATCCATCCTATATTAGAGGTATCAATTGCGCCATCCGTTCTAACGCTACTTTCCTAAAATTAATAAAAATAGTCGTAAAATATTTAAAATATTTTAGAATTACATTCATGAATAAGATATTTTGTATAATTTGATTTTATTCTATGTATTATAATTGCTCTATTCTGTAATATAATCTATATTATTTTTGTTCACAGATCTCTTTTCGTATACACAACTTTGTAATTTATTCAAATTATGTATAATTTTATAATTTTGCTTGTGCAAATTACATACGTTCAAACTCATATTGCAATTTATCAGATAAAAAATATGAAACACTTTTTATCAATAAGTTCCAAATTATAATATTGCAATTTATCAGATAAAAAATATGAAACACTTTTTATCAATAAGTTCCAAATTATAAATTATATTTTCATAACTTTGAATTGATTATAACGTACCTCAGCTAATATCCTACGAATGCCTTCTGTCGGCGCGTCGTTATAATTACTAGGATCTACGGACAGTAATTTCATAACTCGTATCTTGCCCCCAGGACATCTAGCGTATATATCAGTAAACGTGCCTCCTCGATCTATGGAGAATTGGAACTTATCGTTTCCCATTGATGGCCCCATTGATAAAACTATTTAAAAAAAAATATATATATTATATATATATAAATTGAAAAGATGTTATTGTAAAAATTGACTTATTGAAAATGAATACTCCAATAACCTTATTAGTCTTTTTTGTGTGTATATGCTATAATGTTTAAGCTTAAACTGTAAGCTAATAAGTCTTTTCAAAAAATCTGAAATATATTTTGGGCGGTGCACAGCTTTCATTTTTAGTTTAAACACATTTTGTGAACCACACATAATTTTTTTCAATGTCATTAATATTGTAATCTATCAGGTCTTTTGCGTTCCATATATTAAACTTTGTGTTTCGGAAAAGCAACAAAATTTTTTTTATTATCTAATAATTTTATGCAAAACACAACATACACATATCTTAAAACATAATATAATTTGTATTATAATATATATATATAATAAAGAAATTATATGTAAATATAATATTATTACATTGATTTTAGCAAGTGTAATAAATAATTTATAATTCATATTAATAAATAACTTTAAATTCTTTAGTTTTGATTAATTTTAAATATAATTCACACACACACACACACACACACACACACACACACACACATTTCATCTAATAATAATACGCTCACTCTTCTATTCTATGAAAACAAGTATGCACACTATTGATGGCTATATAAGTACAAGTTAAGCATTCTTCTGATAAAAAACTAATTAACGTTGCTCGCATAAAAGAAGATTTAATTATCTGATAAAACGTACATTTTGAAGGTCTTTTTCACTTTTAATATGATATTTTAACGTGTAATAGCATTAATAAAATATTAATCACGTTTTAAAACTAAGAGCAAAAGAAAAAGTATGATATATCCTAAAAATGTAATTTAAAATTAATGCGTTTAAAATTTATAACTCTCGTTTATCCGCGCATGCGTATGTAAAGAGCACTCGGTATTTATACGTCAGCTGTATTTCTACATCACAAATCAGAAAAATTCCTCTGTCAGTAATAAGTGCTGCTATAATAATTTTGTTATAACGTCATAATGTCATATAAATATCAATACCGTAATAAGTGCAATATTGTTAATGTCTTCCTGACACTATATATCCGTTTTCAGGCACGCGATTCTAACAGCACCAGTCTGTGGTATTGGAGCAACTGCTACTGCACGAGTAGGGACTAGGGAGAGCACGAATAATATCAACAGCAAGGTTACCATGTGAAGGTTCTCAATTACGAATTGTGTGACAGAGTTGACACCTAACTATTACAATACAATAATTGTATTACAATAATCATAGTTTTAATCCAAAAATAGAGCATAATTTATATTTTCCAGCAAACATAATCAACTAACAATAATATTGCTATTAATTATCGATGTTCTCTTTAAATTAAACTAATTCTTTTGATTTAGTTTTTCTATTTAAAAACTGTTTAGTAGACAAAAAAATGAAAGATTTGAGCAAACTAATAAATTTTTATATTTGTGTAATAGTCGCAATAATTAAAAGTTAATATTATTGCAAAATGAGTATCACTGGTCAAGAGACTGCGCACAAAGCAGCCACATCAAACGATATATCGGGTGAACAAAAAATAATATTAAGAAAAATATATACGAATCTTTATTTTAATAATTTTTCCTGAGAAATAACTTACTGTCAATAGATTTTATAATTCCGCCCTCCTCCAGACATCAAGAATATTATTTAATAAATTAATTTAAAAATACTGTTCGTATATTATGTTATCTTATATATTAACATTACAATTGTTTTAATACATTAAAATATAAAACCTCTAATATTTTTTTAAATATTAAAGTATCAATATTATGTATAAATGATATTTACATAAAACTTTTATTAAACTAGTCATACCTCATTTTACGATGGAAAAGTTTAGTTATCTGATAAAACGTTTCAAAAATATTTAAACATACTACATAATCTAAATGACTATCACAAAACACGATAAGATTGCTTTATTTATGGCCATGATATAATAATAATCCAATAAACACCAACATTATTTATAATTTGTGTTACATTATATTCATATTGTTGAATGTAAAATTATAATATATTGATGTTATGTTATTATACTATTTATATTATACACTGTTAGTTGATGTTTACTGGAAAAGATATAGTTTATAAAAATATTATTATTAAATCACTACGAAGTAAGAAAAATACGAACATATAAAATATATGTATATATTATATAATTTATATTTTAATAAAAAAGTTTTTTTTAAATTTACTTCTGATATTATACTTATATATTGCAATCTCTTATCTTCATTTAGTAAACATTGCTTATTTAAAAAAAAAAATGAAAAAGTATTTTGATACAATTATTCTCTTTTTATAATAAATTTCTTTATTTATATAACAATCGTACATTTTCAAAAATAGATATCAACAATTCTGTCAAATGTCATTTCTGAATACGTATACATATATCTTTACAGGAACTGAAAAATATTGTCACTTGTTAATAATATAAAAATATCGAATAACAATGAGTAAATGATAAATTTTTAACTAGTTTAAACGGAAACATGTGTTACATACCGCTTGCATAGATAAATAAGAGAATTACAAGAATCCTATATAATCAATATAAATCATGAAATATTATATAATCTCATAAAGAAAGTTAACCGCATAAGAAAAAAATAATTTCGCTGTAATATACTCGTACGAGCAGATATTTTTAATTGGTTCAGTGCAATATTGATTAAAATGATATAATTGCAATGGTAAAAATCTAAATATGTATTAAAAATTTTAAATAACGAAACTTAGTTTAATGTTTACAAGTTAACTAATGTATAACAAATTAACGACAAATAATGCGTTAATCCAATAATCTCAGATATTCGCAACTCGCCAGTTCGCGTAAAGGATCGGTCTCAACTTATATCGCACACATGATCTTAGCGCCGAAATATCGTGACCAAATATCAACATTACAATTAACTCACATAAACTTTATATATAATCATGTTAATTACAATTATGTATACAAATTTTTATCTACAGAAAGAAAGTAAGATATTGACCGTCACGTTTGTGCAAATTTTCGATGTTTCAAATTTAAAGCTTATTTTACAGCATAATACATGTAAATCTTAACAAATAAATAATTATAACTCGAAGACTTATAATAAATCCAATTAGTTAACAAAGTGATTTAAATAGACAAAATAGAATTCTTGTTATTTTTATAGATGCATTTTTTCTTTTATATCCATTAAAATTCTTGCATTATATTATTTCTTTTGTATCCATTAAGATTTTTGCCTTAGAATTATCTACAAAAATTATTATAAATTTTTTATAACGTAATATTAATAAAATCTGCAAATGTAAAGTTAAATTTAATTTGTTTTTATTTATTTAAATAAAATAAAACAAAGAATAGAATTTGAAAGATGTAATTATGTAAAGCGTTTAACTCTTTAAAAAAATACTATCTGTCTCCTATCCTTTTAAAAATTGAGTAAATAATTGCCTATTATACTATTTTGCCATTTACACTGGAATATATTCGTCACATTGACGTAATTCTGATATAGAATTCATAAATTGTAAAGTATCAGTCATGTGATTATTCTTAATACAAAATATCTTATATATTATTCCATCCATTTTTGAAACAATACGTGCTTCTCTATATACACTTTTGCAAAAGAAGACATGTATGGTATTTAGTTTATTGGTTCATAATAAAATAGGGATAGTGTATAACTTAACCTGCAACTAACACTGGAAACTTAATATCGTAATAAAAAAAAATTATTCTAAGTCTAAGGCCTACAATAATTCGGTAGTCGGTGAGTCGGAAAGGAATCTGAAGAATACATGGAATTGGTCGAAATCGGTGGATCCATAGAGCTGGCGAGCACTGTGGAGCAGCCAACTTATAAGACTACCAACTATCAACTCATTGTAGACTCGGCCTAAAATATCTATTCTGTAACAGTAGCGTCACATATGCCGATGCGTCACTTTTTTATTATGTATGTACAAAACCTGTACAACTACATTTTAAGCTACAGTTGCAGACGTTAAGAATTACAGAATAGACTTCTAAATCCCATATTGTTTTAAAAGGACGTTTCTCTAAAGAATATATGTATGTCATGAAGAATTATAATCGGATTTTTTCTTCAACGATATTATTATAGTATTCATCAGTCATCCTTATATAGGTATCATTGTTAAGGAAATAGATTGGATCTTTAACCTGCAAAAATTATTTTTATAACAATTGTTTCTATTTTAAGAACTATAAAAATATATGAAAACGATACTTGCTTTTTTAATATCAAAAGCCTCTCGTTGGAGATCCTTCTTTTTCAATTTGAATGTTCCTGTACAAAGAAAAAATTATATCATTATAAATACAAATATTAGTTGAAGATAACAACAATCAATTTGTTACCAGTCATAGGCAGTTCTGATAGAATACGAATAAAACGAGGTATGGCATAGTTCGGCAAAACTTTCTTCAACTTTCCTACCAATCCCTTTAAGTCCAAAGAATTTTCTGGGTCAAATATAGCCGCCATTCCTGCTCTACCCTCATTCCCGGGCACCTAAACACATAATTATACATAATAATAAATTTTCATCAACAATATACTTTCTTCAACTCTGTTTTACAAAACAGTTTTATGATATAAACAAGTTTATAATATGAACTGCTATGCTTCATTATCTATATTTTTTTTATTCAAAATCGATAATTTTATGAGTAAATAATGAACAAAAATAAAAAGGGGCGAAGTAAGAGTCAAAATTAAAAATAAAATGAAGCTGTTGACTTGTATTAAAGTATATAATTATTATAGATAATCCATTTAAAAAAATTCTACTTACAATTAATATTTAAAAAACTACTTAAAACTACTTAAAAATAATGTTTAAAATTAACGGTAACAAATAATCAGTGTGACCAGTTTCGACTCTGTATTGAGTCTTTAGACTTCGAAGTATTTTGTTCACGGATAAAATTATTGTAGAAATATATGACATTGATAATATAATTAATAATTTCAAATATTTCTGTAACATTAATATAGGAAAATATAAGATAATGACATGTATAAATATATTCTGAGATAAAAGAGAAAAGAAAACTTACCTACAAGGTAATAACAAATTTAAAATTAATAATCTGTTCAGCTTAAATATGGTGAGTATAATTTCAATTTATTAGTAAATAATGACTTTATTGTTATTTACCTCAACACCAAATACAGTTGCATCTTTGAGACCTATTACATTACTTATGACGGCCTCCACTTCCGAAGTAGCAACATTTTCACCTCGCCACCTAATATTTAAGATAAAATATATTTAATCCAATTCTTATTTACTAATTTTATTTAAAAAATGTTTACAATAATTTAATCATTTTTATAAAATCTGATTATACTAATATTAATTGCGTATTAAAAATATCTACATACCTATATGTATCACCAGTTCTGTCCTTAAAATAAAAATATCCAAGTTCATCCATAACTAAAATATCACCTGTTCAAAAAAATTAAATAACATATAATATATATGATTATTCCTTCACTACTGAAAGAAAAGATTGGCTGCAGCATCTAATTTTTGATTGCGTTAGCCATCCGCAATAACTGCTACATCTAAAAATAGGCTGCTGCAATCAATTAAAAATGCTATGTCATATTCAGTCAATCTTTTTTTTCAGTGTAAATAGATTATACTACATCTTATGTTATTACTAACCAGTATTGAAGGCACGATCGCCTTTCTTGAAGACATCATGTATAATCTTTTGTTCTGAAGCCTTTTTGTCAGCATAGCCGGTAAAATCATTTATCACCTTTTTTGAATTAATTTTACCTACAAAAACGCCAGATTCACCTAAACAAATAACATAAAAGTAAGATAATTATATATTATCCAACTTAAAACTATATATGTAGACATATAAATACGCATATATCATATATGTATATACAATATATATTGTATACATATACATACAATATGTGTGTATGCACGCGCGTGTGTGCGTGTGTGCGCGCGTGCGTGATAAACTATCGTTAAAAAGTTCCCGGCATGGAATTTAAAATTGCATAATAGATTACCGTAACTTGGTAAACAAATCATTGCAAACAAAGAATAAAGACCCATTTTAAGGCTTAAAACTAATACTTTAGCACGCTTTTAATCTTTTTTCAAAACATTTTTTTTTTACAATTTTATATCTTACCAAAGATCACGTTGTGTTTCTTAAAATTACATTGCTCTACTGGATATTGCGGTATCTAGTAATTTTATGATCTGGTGCATTCCTAATAATGATAGCAAACAACGTGGAAAAAATAATGATAATACTTTTTAATATAAAATAAAATCCATTAACATAAAATTTGATGATACACACCAGGTTTACAAGGTATGCAGAATCCATTTGATCCTCTCAATAATTCTCCTGTTTCTTCATCAATTTTCAACAGAGCAACTGGATACAAACTACCAGCATATCTTGGTATGAAACCAACAGCACCAATTTTATTGTCAATGTTGACTGTAAATCATACAAATATTTCTAAAAATAACAACTATAAAATATAGTAAGCTAGCTATTATTATTTTCAACTGTTATGAATGATTATTTATTTATTAAAAGAAACTTAAACATATCAACAATTTCTATAAAAATTAAAAGCTTATTCTTTATGTTTAAAAAATGTATTACTTATCTTCAAAATTTATTATATTTATTTTTCGCAATGTAATTAAATTATTTACAGATTTTTAGTATGTCATTCATAGATTTTAATATATCATTCAACATATTATTAAGATCCAAGATGCAATGTGCATCAAAATTGTTAGATTGTTAGTCAATTTAACTCGTGACAGTACTGCGGTTTATTAGTTTGCGTTGTAAGTTTATTAGTTTATTAGTTTGCGTTGTAAGTTTGAAAAAAAAATCTCGGCGCGCTTTTAGAAATCTACATACGTAATGTATAAATTCACATGAAAATTATATTAGAAGCTTCCAAGATCTAGCTTGACCGTTAATGGCCTATTCTCATCGGTATTTAGTTAAAAATTTATTGTATTTGAAAAATAGACTTAATAATAAAATTCTTCTGGAAATAAATGAACGGAAAGATTGATGAGTTACCGAGATTTGAGTTTCCTTCAGTGGCTCCATAAAACTCGCCTATTTGCTTCACGCCAAATCTCTTAACAAAAGGTTCCCAAATTTGTGGTTTCAGACCGTTTCCAAACATTAAGCGTACTTTATGCATTGAATCGTATTCGCTTGATGGAACTGTAAGAAGAAAACGGCAGATTTCTCCAATATATTGCGCTACCTAAAATACAAATATAATTTTTATTATTGAAACAAATAAAAATATAATAATTACAAAATTAATTAACGCAGAACTTTAAAAATTAACACATTGTACACTTCATATAATAACTGACAAAATTTTTTAATATACATATTTTAAATGTACATATAATTATAATATAAAAAATTGCAAATTTACTACGTACTAATAGTATTATTAAATTTAACGGCCTTGTGTTCGTGTGTACGTATGCATATAAGACGATTATTACAAATAAATTAATACACGACTCTATATGAAAATATTTAGTAAGAAACGATTTAATAATAATAAAATACAGCAGTAATGATTTGTTGTATCTTATAATTTAAAGTATTAGACGTAAAAAAATGAGTTTAAAAAATTCAGTTAAAAAAATTTTAATGAGATAAGAACCTCTTTTTAATATATTTCTTCAATATATTTCTTTAAAAATGCATAAAAAACTGACATACATTAAAAGATATAATATATCAAAATGTCATTAGAAAAATGTGATTGAAAATTTTAATACTTTTTATTTTCGTAGGTAATTTAAAATTCTGTAAGGTCTGACTCCCGCAAAACATCAGACTAATGAAAAGAAACTATTAGAAACTATCAGAAATTATATTCAGATTTATATGGTTATTATTCAGTTTCTATAGTAATTTGAATAATAATTATTGACTACATATATGAAAAGTAATTGAATAGTAACTATAATTATTGATAAATAGTTTTGTGAAGGGAGGGCTCCGTTTATCTATAAAAAATAATTACATACAACTTTGTTTGCACACTACGTATCGCACACACGAAAATACTGCATACAGTGCATTGCACACGATCATATTGCTGCACATGTATTGCAGAAAGGATTCTGATAGCGCACATCGCTAATTGATCAATTTAATAAGATATTCTTATTGGTAAAATAATGAAAAATTATTAGGAACAATGTAAATGTTCTAGTAAAATTTTTATATGCAATTATACATATATGATTAATATGACTATGTACATATGATCATATATAAAATTGCAAAATTTGTCTCTATACATATGACCATGTCTTCCCTTAAAATTACAATAATTTCATAATCCTGAAACCTGTAGAATAAGCAACAAATCGAGACGTCTGTTCGATTATGTCTGTAGAAAAACATATTTTTAATTGAAATCGTATATATTATGATACGTACAACATACGTACAATTTCATCATATATATTCATTTCTTAAATTATTAAGAAACATTACAGTGCCACCGCAGTAATTTTTAATATTAACTAACAATGAGAAATACGATACTACTATATTATTTTACGAATTATTGTAGCACTTATACGTATAATATATCGAACAAATACCTCAATTTGTCGTATATTTTACAAGTTTCTCAACTACTAAATTATTATATAAAGAAACATTAAAAAATAGAACTGTACGTAATTATTATGTTTTTAAGGCAAATTAAATAATAAAACTATACATATAGCAATTCATTTATCACGTGTTTCTTACTGTTGACATTATATACGACTGACTTGGAGTCTCGACAGAGCCAAGCTATAAATAAATAGAAAAAAATATATAAAAAATCAAACAACAGATCAATATCAAATTTTGTGTTATTTATTAAAAATCACACAAATGTTAACGCTAAAAAAATATTAAATATATTTTCCTAAAGCAAAAATGAAAAAAAAATCCGTTTTTCACATTTCTTTAACACAAAACTAAAAATTATAAAACTATAAGACTGTATAAAAAAATAGAGTGATCTTACAGTGCATTCGTAATGGACACATTCCGACCAATACTTGGACGCACTAAATTTTTTACGAAGCACGACAGTGACGCCTCCTATAAGTGCTTGACCAACTCCAATTATACCACCTGCAGTATGATAAAGTGGCAGAGGATTGTAAATTCGATCATTTGACTGTAGATTAAGCATTGAATTCACGCCACATGTTATTAACATGTACCTAAAAGAAACGTAAAAAGTATACGTAAGATATAAATGATTTCTATCGCATTTGAAACAATATAAATACATGCAGGACAATTTGAACTAAATTATAAATTGATTAATATTATAAATTGTTAATAACACTATCAAAATAAATGCAAAATTTTCACACAGTTTATATTGTAATAATAATATAATTGTGTGCATAAAAGTTTTGTTTTTTTTTTATTTAAATATAATTAGTGAGAATTTTAAACAGAATTTATCAACGTATAGTATTTAAGGTATTTTTAGCCTAACAATACTTCTAATTGGAAGTTATTAACGCAGTGTTTAATAGAGTTTATTAGAGTTTATTAAAGTAAGCACGCAGCTAGATGAGCTTTGACCATCGAGACATGACTAAATATATATTAAAAAGCATACAAAAAGCATTAAAACAAAAATCGAACTATTAATTTTATACAATTAAATTCTTGTTGTGTATAATTCATATATGTATACACTGTGCAAAAAATAAAATATTAATCTTAATAATTAGAAACTAAGGGCCCTAAACGGTCAAACTAAATCTTAAGTGCTGAAAGTAATTCTGTGTGAATTTATATGCTACATATATGTAATCTTTTAAAATCGCGCACCGAAATTATTTTCAGTTTTGAAACGCAATTCGATTAAACTGTAGTAATATCACAAATTAAATTGACAAGCAATTTAATAATTTAATGCTCAATCAGGCATTTTATTAGAAAGATGGTAATATACTGAAAAACTGTAAATAAATTTATTGTGAAAAATATTACCTCGGTCAGAAGTCAAACATCATTCTCTTGCATGTCCTAAGCCTTTAAACTACTGACGCCTTAAGAGTAATATACTTCGCAATAACTCATATATTAGAAGTACGCATATTAGCTAAAATTTTGTATTATTTATACACGCGGCCCTTAGTTAATATTTAAATGATTATGAAAATTGATTAATATAACTATGGAATAGCTCTCAAGTTCCTTTTTATACGGGTTATACTATTAAAACAACAAAAGTTTCACGCATTATTGAAATTATTCGTACATTTATATCGCATTAATGATTTTTTACGTATAGTTAACAATTTATAGAATCTTACCTTAAATTACTGATAACAGCAGCCTTTGGCATTCCCGTCGTACCAGACGTATAGACATAAATTAATTTATCCCGGGAACTGCCATGATCAAGTATGATAAGAGACCCAGGATCAATGTCACTGATTTTCGTGTTAAGGTCAATCGCACCTTCCAAAATCGATGTATCCGCCATTTCCGACCATTGATACAGCTCAATGTCGGGTATTTTATCTCTGACATCACGAATCGCTGCACATGATACGCTTTAATAATATTTGTAATGCGAACAAGTTTAGATACTTCGACTCATATAATAGAAAGTGCACTTAGAAAGTGTATTTCCCAGAGAAAATTCAATTACGATTAATGTAGTCAACATAGTCTTATGACTAAAAATGTAAATATTAGTATCAGTATATGTGTATTTTATTGAAATGTGCAAGAACTTGAAGAAATCATTTATGTAATTACTGGAAATTAATGGTTTTTAATTGAAAAGAAATTAATGGTTTTTTTAATTAAAAAGTTGTTCAATTACAATTTTTTAAAACGCACAAATAATTTTAATGTAACAAAAATAATATTACTAAGAAATTCAATCGCTTTATTTTTATTTAAATTTCTTAACTTATATTATTTGTAGTAAAAAGACTTTATATATAAAAATTATCATTGCTTAGAGTTAAAAAATTTAAATGTTTTAATTTACTAATCGCTATTATACATACATATATTACGACGATGGTTCAAATATAAATGAGATTTTTTTGCGTGAATACAAATCGTGAATAAATGTACTTTACATTAAGTGGCAGATAAAGGTGTTTGTTTACTGATATAGTTATTGCTCATTGTTGCCATGTCCGAACAAACAGTAACGCCATTGTGTAACGCTTTATTTATGCGTTAATAAAATTTTTTGCACGCAAAAAACTATCAAAATTTTGTGTAAACTGTGTGTCTAATTCAGAGAAAAGGTGCTATTGAAGACGAAAAAATATGTAACAATATTCGATATTATATTATTTATATTAATATTTGCTTGGACATATCACAACAATGATTCTAGAAACAATTACCATGAAGCCGCTATATATGTAGGTAAGGCATGAGCATAGGCCTTTACCTATCATTCAATGCAAATATGTCTCAGTTAATGTGATAATTTATATTTTCATAAAAAATTCTTATTCATATCTAAACCATCTACGTATTGTGTTATATGTGTATCATGTAGCTATGTATTATAGTTCATAAAATCCTCGAAAAATTTTATCGAAGAAGTCGCTGCAATTTCACTAAAAATTTGTGATTGAAATTGTCACACATTTTTAAACACTTTTCAGTAAAATTTCAATCAAATTTGATGAAATTTGAAAAAAAATGTATGTTTTTTAAAAATAGTAAATAAAATTATTCTTAAAGTTTTATAATTTTTCTAAACAAAACTATCAAAAAATACTTATTTATATTCATATTAAAGCCTAATTCTAGAATTTGACGATTTTTAAAAAAATCATTTACTAAAATACACATGTAATAAATCTCTTAATGCTGTATCTTTTATTCTATTCTATATGAAATTTTAATTACAAAAAATGGACCTCTCTACTGCACCCATCTGATGCGTACTGCTCACAATAAATTTCAACATATTATCATAGAAATTTTAAAGAATTTTTAACAAATTTTTTAGGAAATTTTTTGAAGAAATTGTAATAAACTTTTAGTCAAATTTTATTAATTTACTTTTATTAGTTTATTTTATTAATTTTATTTAAAAATTATTTTCAGCAAAATATTTAAAAAAAATTGTCAATAATGCATGTACATGTATAATTGTAATTACTTTTTTCCTATTAATTAGTTTCTAATTTTTTATTTACTTTTTAAATCAAACAATTATTTGCAATTCAAATGCAAGAACTTACCATCCTTAAGTTCTGACCCGAAAATAACAGCTTTGCAACCGGCAGCGTTAATGCTGTGCAAAAGTACATCACGACGTAGATTCGTATTAATTAAAGCCGCAACAAAATTAGCTTTGCTAAGCCCTAACCAGGTAGCGATGTATTCAGGACGATTTTCCATAAATACTGCTATACTATCAGAATGAGAAAATGGTCTGGTGCGGAAGTAACGTCCCATGCGATTACTGAAGTGTTCCAACTACATTTATACATCAAAAATTATTATGCGCACATATATCTAATATTTCAAAACTATACAATCAAAAGTTTGATCAGTTTTATTTTTATTTATCAATAAATTATGATATTTGTAATATTCAATTTCTTAGCTGGTTTCTGATTTCTTAAATAATGTATTGTTAATTCGAGAGATGTATTAAAAAAAATTTTTTTAATAAACTAAAAAGTACCTCGTATTTAAATTTTGATATAGATAAATTTGATAATTCCACAAGTATTGTTTAAGTAATTCCTTTTTCTAGAAAAATAGTTATTTATATAACAAAAACCTGCACTTAATATATACAATCATTATAACAAACATCCAATTAATTAAATCTAATAAACTCGTCTGGATAATTACTGGTATTAAATGCGTAGTGCAGTACAGTTCAAATGTATAAATCTATAAATGATGTATGCGTCAGATATTACCTGTTCATATGTCCATTCTTTGTCCTCGAAGATGAAAGCCACTTTATCCGGATGAGATACTGCATACTTTGAAAAAATCTTTGCAATGGTATACTCACGTTTTTCCCACCACCAAAGACGTAAGTTAAAAAGAAAAAACCGATAAGCCCCTCTGCAAAAAACAAAAAGTTTAGAATTAATCTAAATTATTAATATAATTTTTCAAAAATATTTAAATCGGCAATTATTAATTTTTGTTTAATTAACTAATATAATATTTGATGTATTATCAATACATACTCTGTATTTTTTTATAATCAAGATAGATATATTAGTTTTGTTGAAATTTATGTATATTTATAATACATCTTTAAAAAATAAGAGTCAAAAAGAATTTAATATATAAAAACAGATAAATTATATCGAGTTTTTTAATATTTAGTACTACAAAATCAAAATTAAAAAAGAGATTTCTAGTTCTACAAACTAATGTCATATGTTTTTAAAATTGATAATACATTCTTCGTTCTTCGTCCCCTCACGTAATGTCTTTTTCTCTCACAATTGGTTAATATCGCCACATGACACACGTAATGTACATTACACAAACGCAACTGCTCCATTGTCACTCATGTAACACCTGGCAAAATGTCAAAAATGTGACTATGTCATCCTATGATTTTTGTAAAAAGCATCTTTATAGAACTGTATGTTTTAATTTAATTTAATTATAGTGATATATTAATATAGACATATATATAATTAATTCTATAGTTCATTAAACGTTATCTTCACGCATTAATTATTTAACACTTTAGATAATGTACATAATATTTATTTCTAATTTCTTTATAATTGTAAATATTATATTATAATTATAAAATATAAAAAGGAAGAGAGAAATAGAGATTCATCTATCAAAGAATGATATGCTATATTGAAAATAGAATTTGTTCTTTGAACTATAATGTCTAGATAGCAAAAACTAATAACTAATTACTCACATTACGTCAGAAATAATAAAAGAATAAAAAAAGTAACAGTTAGGTTTAGTTATGAAATATATTATAACTGCAGTATACATGATAATAATTATCTTTATCAAATTACTTCTATCTTAAAAGTTTTATGAATGAGAAACTCTCATATGATCCATATATTCACATATAAAATTTAAGAAATAATAATTATTAATATAAAAATAAATTATTCTGTTTACGCGTCGTGAAAAGAATGAGTGAAAAGTATCAAGAACTCGTTTTTAAGATTCATATGAAAGAAAATCTAATAAAAAAAAGCAACAAAGAAAGGAAGATAAACAAAATAAAAAGTATACGCAATGTGTATATTATTGTATTAATATATATTATCGAATTATTGCGTTCCGAACTATTGTTTGCTGGTTTTCCTCTTGAGCTAGACTGTCATATTACTTTATATTTATGCAGTGACTATGCAATAACGTGTATAAAAAGAAAATATTATTAACATAAAAACAATATACAAAAAGCAAAAGCCCACGAATTAGCTGGCTATTGCTTATAGTAATTTAAAATTTTTATATACACTGCCGAAAATTGAAATTCCAACATCATGAAAGAGTTGTGCTAGATGAATGAAAGTTACACACAGAATGTTTACATGAGTTATTATATTGATATCTATTATACACACACACACACACACACACAAGGTCACAATTCATAGGATACGAGGATATAGCATTACGACGAATGCGGAATAAAATTTTCCATTAAACACGTGTGAAGCTATTCATAAGCGTTAGTATCACTGTAAAACGCTGTGATAACGTATGATAAAATTATATAGAACGCCTTGAAGGCGACAACGAACTGTATATCGACAATTAATCCATTTTGAACGAGGCCGTATAATAAACTTTTAGGAGAATGAATTATCATTTCGTGATATCGCGGCAAGAATGGATTGAGACCTCTCTACCGTATACAATTGTTGGCAACAATGGTCCCAGGAAGGCACTGCTACCAGGAGACCGGGGTCCAGAGCCTCCCGATCAACTGAATTCATCTAGCATAATTCCTTCTTGGTGTTGGGATTTCAATTTCCGGCAGTGTGTTTAATAATTTTAATTCTAAACAAAAATGCTTTAATCTATCACTAGGTCATCTTCAATATTAATACAATGTTAATACAATGTTAATACAATGAAGATAACAGAAAAAGATTTTGTATCACTCTGTTCAACCGTTGTTGTTGTATTTTTATATACATCATTTCCGAAATTAATCTTTTATTATAAAATAGTTTATTGTCTAATATCATAATTAATTTAATCTTATTTAAACTTATAATTATAGATACATGTAATGATTAGAAATTACTGATGGCGATTTAATTTTTTTATTCATGTCATACTTGCATATCCAGAATATCCGGATATTCTGGTTTTTAATTGCCGTTGTGTTTGACCTACATACGTCTCCTCACAATCATGACAAAAAATTTTATTAATTACATCTTGATGCGAAATTCAAGTATCTTTAAAACAAGTAATATGTATTTTTTTTAAGTATTAGGATAGTAAATGCTATTTTTTTCATTTATTACCTGCAATAATTGAAAAAAAGATTCAGAAATGATTTTTACATAAGGCATTGCAAAGTAACTTTAACTTGATTATCTTGTTTATTATAATTGACAGTTTCATGAAATTTTACATAATGCAATCTGTACACTAGTTGACACATAATATTTCGCATAACGGATGTAATACGTAGTATACATCATCGAAACAAAAGTAATTTGAAAAAGACTGTCACACATTTTCAATCTATTCTAGCAAAAAGTAATTCAAATAGATAAGAAAAATAGAAAATAATCCTATTAATATTACATTTTGTTTTTGTAATTTGTTTATATATTTTGCTATATACAAACATATAAAACAATGTTCACATCCTTACGCGTTAAAATTGAACATAAAAAGCAGTCATTATCTGTTAAATAAAATTTTAGATAAGTAATTCTCATATGAAGAAGATACATACTCTGTGAAAAATTCTATTATAAATCAAACCAGTTTTGACTTTTAACTTTTACCTCCTTAAAAGGGAAGCCGCTCCCAATAACTTTAATCTTGACATGTATCGAGGTCATAACTATATGTTATGTGTAATTTTATAACGCGCAAGTAACTACCTTTTTATAAATATGTAGTAAGATTTAATGTACACAAATATATTTTTGTGTACATTAAAATATACTTTAAATATTTTATACCTATCTCATTTTTCTTTTTTAAAGTTACAAAAGTGTACACTAGTTTAGGAAACAGATCTTTTAGTTTTCACAGGAAACAAATCTTTCTTTTTTAATAGATTTCAAACTTCAAACTTTGTTATTTAACATAGAAAATATACATTAAGTCACTAGAGATAAAGCTAACAAAAATTTAAGACATATATGTACATGACCGAAGTGTTAATTCATAGTATAAACATCCAAGTTCCAGATTATTTAATTTATTAATTCTTAAACAGAAATTATGTAAAGCAATAATGTTTTCAAAAAAAATTTTTGTTTTATATAGCAAAAAAAAAACGTTATTTCTTTAACTTTTTCTTGTTAATAATTTTTGAACGAAGTAACAAGCAACGATCAAAATCTGTTGGAAGCCATTTAATATCATGATCTTGATAATATACGTTATTAAATTATTTTTAATAAATTGATAAAAGAATTGACTATATATATATATATGTGTAAACGCTGATTATGTACACAACGTAAAGCACTCTTACAAAAAAATACGACAAACTGTCCCCCTTCGATTTTGATGAGCTTTTAATATATTGTTCTATATATTGTACAGAGAAATAAGAAATACGTTTTTTTTTATATCAACTAATTGTAAGTCGCATGTTGAATGTGTGAAAACCTCATTAGCCTTTGATTCTTTACTTGTGAATTTTATTCGAAATAAAACTTTTATTTATATTTAGAATTAAATAGTTTTAAATTCAATTTATATATACACACAAGTCTGTCCCAGAATAATTGCAAAATATTTTGTATATAGATAGAACGGAATAAACTAAATCGAAAAGTCCTGTATCATTTTGCGATTTTCGAAATAGTTAATGAGATATTAACTTCTAAAGATCGTCGAATAAGCGCGTATCATTCCGGCCGTACCGCCAATACACGCCCAGCAGTCGTGGTTGCTAGGCACGTGGGAAATTGTTTTCTTTCACTGTAGTGTGTAACTATTGGCACTATTGTTATTTGTAATAAACAATTCCCTTCGCGCCTACTGACCATGATTGATGGGTATGCTTTTGGTGGTATGGCCAGGCAAATAAGCGCTTATTTAGCGATCTTTAGAAATTAATATCTCATTAACTATTGCGAAAATTTTTTTTCAAAATGGTAGAGGACTTGTCGACTCAGCTTAGTTTGCTCTACCTGCACACGAAATATTTTACCGGCATTCTGGGATACCCTGTATATACAGTAAAAGTATTATTTAAAAATTTTTGTCGCGTAATTTTATTTTTAAATCCTTACAATTGCTAATAAAATCTCTACTTCTTTCTATTCAATAAAGTCATATGATTGTAACAACAGTCGCGACATTCACAAAAGCTAATTAAATTTAAATATATATGTGTGTATATATTTAATAGTCTAATATTATTCAAGATTTTATACAAAAAGTAAATATTAGCATTTTTAAAGAGATAAAAAAATTATATCTTAAAAAAGTTAATATGAAGGGGTGAAGTGATGATAGTGATGTAAACCACTTTTTAAAATCTATCGACTTACACTATAGCTTTCATCACCTCTTCATACATTTAAAATAATTAGTGGATGTTAAATATTAATTTATTTGAAAATAACTTATTACGTTATAAACTATTAACTTTATTATTTAACAATAATAAGAATAGAGTAAAATAAATAATAGTTATATTGATAAATAATCGGCGCATAGTAATGTTTCTTTCTTTATAAGATTCAATTTTTTTATTTCCGGATAAGTAGCGGATAACTTTATCTAGGAGATATCCCCATTACATTTTGAAAAACATTTCCATGATAAAAATTATCTATTGGTAAAGAAATTGGACATAAGGTTTTATATTAAAGAATAATATGTATTAATTTAATATTTAACTTTGATAAAAATGGCGCTTCTCTCGTATACATTTGGGTAATTTATTATTTAACTTCTAAACTTTTTAATTAATTACTACACAAGTCTATGTATAGTAATATATAATATTGAGTCTTATATTTGTATACTAATAAATTTTTAATGATTTATAAAGTTGCAATAAAATACTGCTAGTTGTCAAATTACATTGAACTGCTATTGAATTACAGGGAGTTTCTAGGTTAAATCGCTAAATTTAAGTTATAAATTTAGAACGACAAACAAAATTTCTCTAGAAATTTGCTCGTAAATGTTTTGTTTAAGAAATATTGATGTCTTAAATTACAAAACTATAGGAATAAATAATGTCGAAATAATCTAGATTTATCCCCTTTAATGCTTTACACAAAATTGTAATAAATGATATATTTAAAATGATAGCCTCCAGTCCTGAAACAAACATTACACTTATCGATAAGAGAAAAAATGAGTGATATTGTGCGTCAGTATATTCTTCCTGCTCTTACGTTATTGTTCTTTTTAATGATTAAAGGTCATTCATAAACACTTCATACGCTTTTTACTTTAGAGAAGAAACAAAAACAAAAAATATTTTTACATTATTCACTTCCATAGTTCAGTAATTAAGAAGTCAATATTTCTTAAACAACGCTAGTAAACTTTTTTTCTAGTAAACTTCCAAAGTATACCTTGAGGTTCTAAATTCATACTTTAAGTTTAACATTGGAATTTAATCCTGTATAACATACATATATTTGATTAGCTTTGCTATTTAATGAAATATTAAAAAATAAACAATTAAAAATCTGTTGTAGAGTAAACAAAGAAATATAAAAGAGAAGCAAAGTCCAAGTGCTGAATAATGTTAATAAAGATAAACATCGATTAATACAAATACAGAAATGTTTCAAATTTAGAAATTATTCTCAGAATGTTAAATTATAAAATTAAAATTGTGTTAAAATATTCATTTCGTTTATTAAAAAACATCAAAAAATTAAAAATTTAAATCTCTTTCAAATAGATGTAAATACATTCGTAATTAATATCTATTTTTTTCTAATACAGATAATCTAATACAGACGTTCGATTTTTATACATTTCAAAACTATAATCTTATTTACTTTAGCAACTAAAATCCTTGCTTGACCGTCATTAGGCCTTTATTTACTTGTGTTTAAATATTAAATAACAACAACGGTCCTACACATATCGTAATTTTATAATCTTATTCTTTTACAGTTAGAGATATTTGATTCAATCTAAATGCTATATGAAAATAAAAGATATTATAACATTAATATTTTACATTATTTTATTATTATTTTATTATATTTTTAAATATTATAAATTGTTATATTATTTTTATTTCTCCTAAAATTAGAAGTTCCTTTAACTTTTATATAATTAAAAAAGCATAATTTTTTAAACAAATAAATATAAAATATTGCAAAATTGAAGTATAACAAACTTAACAATAGTATATATGCAAAAGTAAGTAATAATAAATATTTCAAGTAATTTAAATCTTCTGTTATCTTTGCTTTTCATCGATATATATATATTTCAGTTAATAGTTGTAATTATTAATCAATATATTAAATTACGTCGTACAGAGGATTATTTTAATAGGAAGTCATAATATAATAAAAGGAAGATGCATCGAGAGGCTCTTATAAACTCCCTCATCTTTCTCGCGTAGTGCATTCCAACGGCAAACGAAGCATTGAAGCAAATGCGACGGGCAATCATGCAACTCGGGCATTGAACGCAAATTATTAATCCATAACGTGAAGCACGAAAGCCTATTATTACAAGCTTTAAATATACCGCAATAATATATCGCGACAAAATATTCTCAGCCTTCTCTATAACATTTTATCTATTAGCCATTAAATAATTTGCAATAATCACTGCATTAAAAAATTAAAATCACATATGTTAGTAAATATGTAAATAAAATAATATATATCATATATTGAAAATATTATATTATACAATATATAACTATTATAACAGTATAATAGTACATTTTCAATTTTTTCAGTTTGATTCAATCAACACTGTATACTGTAAACAAACATCTTGGAGTAGTGAAAAACTTGAAAACGATGTAATCGTTGTTATATTTATTTTTAAAAAACAGATTTAACGTAGAAAGAGTTTTTGTAAAGTATAAAATAAAATATAAAAATTATTAAATATATCACACAAATATAAAATACTTCTCCTGATATATTTTTTCCAAGGAATGAAAGTAACTAATTTTACTTATAACGTCATTACTCGCCTTATTGTTATACTATTATAATAATAATTTAACAATGACGAATTTTTTTCAGTAAGTAAACGCGTAAAATAATGCGAGTTAATTTTCAAAATGATCTTTCTAAGCTTTTAATTAGCGCAATCTTAGCGTTTTATTATAATTATCATTATATCAATCATAAAAAGTTGCAACGTTATTATCAAATTGTTATTATAAAAGTAATAGAAAATGCAACGGAATAATAACTTTTTTATTTCCTGCTTTTTTTTAATCTATTCTTTATCTTGAGTAGCATTGAAAAGATACTAGCAAAAATTTAAATTTATTTTACGAATATTCGCGCCTCTGTTATCTACTGAACAGAACATTTAAACTTCTTCCGCCCATATTTTCTCACACATATTTACATGTACTCACAAAATATCTCTAGGTAACGTCTTGTAGAGCACGTAAATGAAGTGCCGACGACTTCCGGTAAGAAGAAAACCGCCAAGCAGCAGGCTTAACACAGTGATGATGATTAAGTGGAGATCTGTCGTAATCATTTTCCGTATGTTTACTCGTCCTAGAACTTGGGAAATTAATCGAGCGTGCAACCTAGGAATGGCGCCAGAAGCCCGCGGTCAATCGCGCATTAGTTACAAACACCGGTTACAAGTACATTATAAACCGGTTAAGTACTGATAAACGCGAACGTCGTGGTATGACTGAAACGGAGTTGAAGGACGACTCCGATATATATAAACTATCCGTGTATCCCCCCAACCATGTGGACAGACTTGTACATAGTAGTCATCATCACGAACTCATGAGCCATCCTACGGAGTTACTCCGGAGCAGTGGGAGTGATAAAGCTGATATTACACGTTGCGATGGATAACACATGCGCAAAAGCTTTTACGAAAGCCGCTCTCATCAGCTTCTAAAGGCGGGTGCTCCGAAAAAGTAAAATTGCAACAGGTTCGGTACAATCGCGTATCCTGGAATCCTCTTCAAACAACTCTAATCGAATATTCTTAATTACTTACATTTTAATAACAGAATTATTATTATCGTATCATACAGAATCACAGCAAAAGTAATTTTACTTTCTAAGTAGCGTGATTTAAGAGAAAGAAGAAAGTAGAAAGTTTCAATGCATTCATACACATTTCTCATTTTATTTTATTCTTAAGTCTTTATTTAAAAAAAAAAAACGATTTTACTAACGTTTTTAAAAAATTTAGTTAGATACAGATTTAAAAATAATTTTGACTCTCTAATTGCTAGAATGTCAAAAGTTTTTACAGCATTGCGCGTCATGCTCAAGTATCTTACATAATTTTATATTGATAATCCAACAAAATTATTTTCAAATTTATCTAAATTTACTTGAATTTTTAGATACTTCAGCAAAAAATTGTTTTTTATATGTAGATACGATAAGAGAACAAATAATAATAATGAAGCAACAAAAACATTTTGTTATTTCAGACCAAATATAAATTTTAATTTGATATAATCAGCAATCTTCGATAAAAGATAATTAAAACGTGACTATCGTGTTGCTGATACGACACTAAGAAAGAATGCTCATCACTGTGATTCGTTGGCGTAAACAGCATATGACAATGGTCAAATTGGTTATTTTGAACAGACCACAGATAGTCTCGTACGCCTATCGTAATTTGTAGGTCACACTATATAAAGCTTGTCACGTATAAAATTGCTCTATAACATGATCGCTTTTCATTGCGAAATTGTAAGCTTTTAATGAATTTCAATGAAGAACACAATATATTGTCTATAATATGTGATATATCCTTTCCTGTATATTAATAACATTTATTTTATTTTATTTTTAAATAAAAAATTCATCTTTACACAGAAGAAAAAGAAAAACAATGTTTAATAAGGTTCAAAAGAAATAATCTTTATTTGTTTAAAAGTAAAATTAAATTTAATATTAATAATCAGACTTCCTATATTAAAATAAAATGTTGAATAAATATAATAAATAGAGATTTTTTTTTCTTTTTTGAGAATAAATTCTTAACAATTATTGATATCAAAAGTAAATGAGAATAAGATAAAGCATTAAAAAAATAACTCATATGTGTGGTGGTGTAATACATGTACTTAGGAATAGGAAGTTATTTTTACCGTTAATTTTGCTGTTATTTCTTAAAATAATGATTTGGTAATGACGTCGCAATTGTTATTATGATGATAATTAACTAAAAGCTTAGGTTGAATACATGATTTTTGAAAAGTGACTTGTCATCATTACGCATTATTTATTGAAAGAAGTAATTCATTACTTGCAATACATCAATTCGTTACTTTTAAAAGTTCGCTGTTTTGAAAAGTAATGACAAAAGTAACGTTCCATTCCTACATCTACTGAAAGTAACTTCTCATCCCTACATGATAACTAAAAGGCAACAGGGAATTCTGAAACTTTGCTTTATTTTAACTGAGAGACAAAAAATAATAAATGAAAGACAGTACAAGAATATGTCATTATATTTACATTATTGCATTTACGTGAGAAAAAGAGTAAAAGTGAGAGAGAAGGAATAATACATATTTTTTTATATAAAAACATCAGCCGCATATGTATAAACTGATATTTACCTAATAAATTAATTTTATTTACATATATTACATCAATATTCAAGGTAAAAAAATAAGTTTGTTCTTAAACGTGAAAGGCTCTACGTGTAATAAAAAAATGTTTATTATGTATGTTAAAAAAATGCAGTATATTCAGTTTTGGAATAAATTAATATGCAAGCTTACTGAAACTTATCAAAACATAATATGATTAAATACTTAAAATATACGTATTTGTTTCTCGATAACAGAAAAGCTACTAACACTTATATCATTCCATATCTTCATTACAGTTTGATATAGATATCAGATAATATGATTAATTCATTATAAAAATATATATGAAAGATATACGTAAAATTATGTATTACACAACAAAAACTTTTTTTAAACAATATAATATGTTAAGCAAGAAAAGAAAAAGCAAATGAAACAGAAGAAATACCTTTTTATTATCTAATAACAACAGTGAAATATAAATATAATTTAATTCAAAATTGCTGACATAAAAAATAAAATTGTGATCAACACATCGTCGTTTTAATTTAATTTGTTTGCATAAGATAAACATAAGTATAATTTTTATGGTAACAAAATGTACAGAAAGAACGATACATGTGTTTACATAAATAATAGAAGATATATTTATACAGAAAAACTTATATAACTACAATACTTATAAATGATTTAAGGGAAGATAGTCTTCATGTACAACATGTACAATATATTGATGATTTCTCAGTCAGGCGTATTTCACAACAATGGATCCTGAAAAGAAAAAAAATTGTATTAATATTTTTTGTATCATGAGGACATTGACGATTACGTACTAAAAATGCAAGTATTAACACATAATGTAATAAAATGTGATAAAAAAAAAACAATTGAAACAAAATTTTAATAAATGCGAACAAAAAGAATTGCAAAATTCAGACAACTGCATAACGTAATAAAAATTTTATGATTTTTAAACACGTGGTTATTGTAATTTTTATACGCAAACATTACTGTGCAAAGTTCAGGGACAATACAAAAGATTATATACCTTAATTTGAATGATCGAGGCTCGGAACATTCATTATCTGAGAACCAGGTAAAGTACCATGATGTCCATAACTGAAAACGATATGCACTAATCAAACTAGACAGCACACTTCAAAAATTGATTGATTTGAAATATATTTAACACATTGATATTTTAAATTCTTGATTTAAATAAATAATTAAATTAATGTAAGAGTTATGTAAAATATACGTAGAAAAATATAATAGTGCTAAGTAAAAGATAAATAAAACAGAATAGAATACAGAACAAAAATAATTTTAAATATATAAATACAAAACTCTTAGTATTCAAAATATAATAAACAGGAAAAAATAATTAAATTGAATTAACGCTAATGTGTTAACATAACTATATAGAAATTAAAAATTAAAAATAATTTTTTTAAACTCTCTAATAATTGTTAACTGTAATAAAAATTCATATTCCGAAATTAAGTAAAAAATTAATTTAAAAAATATAACTTTACGCATATAGAATATCTTATAAATTCTTTTTAATCTACATCTTATACATTCTTTTTAAACTACAGTTTATATTCTAAAGATTTTTGTCCTTCCGAGCCACAAATCATCAGTTCTAATTAGTAAAGATACCGATACTGACATAAAAATTAAAAAAAAAAAAAAAGATATTGGACGTTAAATGTTTGCTTCATGTAAAACAGCTTAAAATATGCATGTAAATCAATGAAAAAAAAAAATTATTTTAAAATAAACAGATTCTAAAAGATCTCATGAACATTCATTTGTAAATATTTTTCGTAGATAACTTCTGTAAAAGAAAAAGAATAGGAATATGTGTCATTACTGAGTACTATGTCAGTTTTAGGACACATTTTATCATATAAACTTATTTTTGCTTATCTCACGAAAAAGTTAATTAAAATTACCAAATTACAATCAGTATTATAAAAACTGCTATATTATTTAATAAAGGATACTTTCTAATTTATATTTATGTTTCTAAAGTTTTAGCTTTTATTTAAGAAATATTATCCAAAAAAGAAAATGGTATGTCAATATCGGTGACCTTTATTTTATCATTAATATTCATGTTAAAATATTATTTTACGTTAAATGTCAAGAAATACAAATTTAAGGGGCCAAAATGAATAAGCATAACCATGTGTAAATTGATATGAAAAGCTTTCAAAAAGTATATGAGAAGAGATAAGAGTGACATTATATAGAGTGACATTAATTAATTTTATCGTGTTGACATTAATTTTATGAATACGTAACACTATTTCTTACCAACAATGAAAAGTACAATCGTCACAGTGATGCTAATAATGATGATCCTCGATTTCACATTCTGGAGCCATGCTCTTCGTTGCGCTCTCTTCGCAGCTTCTCTAAATTCATTTCCAGCCATACTGAGACGATCGCTTGCTTGCTGTAAGTCCTCCAGTTTCTCGCCACGATCCATTACTTTTTGAACATTATCTCGCATCACGTCCGTCACCTCTTGAATTTGCAGCTTAACGCTTCAAATACAAATAATATCACTTGCACCATAATCTCAAATGTATTAATTTGCATATAATATCATATCAATTATAAAATTATAAATTAATATCATGATATATCGTAAATATGAAGATCAATTCAAGCCTAATACAAGATTAAAAAGCACGTGCTTTTTTCAATTACTTTTTTTCTTAAGTATCTGTAACAATCTACATTCGTTCTTTGTGCACTAAAAATAATTCTTCTAATTCAAATAAATTTCAATTTTATTTAAAAATGATACTATTTTTTGCTCAGCAAAATCACTCAGCAAAATCAATTATCATAAATTTATTCACGCTTCAGAATTGTATTCGTTATGAATTTATAAATTATTTATAAACAAGCCAATTATTATTCTACTTACTTAATTGTTATGTACGCGTGCTATTATACATTATATTTATATTTTGTTAACGAAAGTACAACATTGATGTTATTCTACTTTTATTGTGTCAATTTGGATGTTTTCTTTAATATATATTATTACTTTAGCGTATATATTATATATATATATATAAATCCTTAAAATATAGAAATTAAAAATCATTACTTACGTATCCACTTTATTGTCAATGCTTTCATTTCCACTTGATGTGCTGGGTCGACTGTAATTGCATATTTTATATTAATACATTTGTATTAATTAAGGCAATTACCGGAAAAATATAACAAGATCCGAACAAACAAAAGTAAATATAATATGTAAATTGATCATTTAGTTTAAAATGTAAAACTAGTTTATACTAAATGTTAAAATAAGAGATAACTATTTTATTATTTTAATATTTTTTTTAACCAAAAATGACATTTACAATATTTTTATAGAAGTTTTTACAATATTTATTACAATCGATTATATAAGAATAATTTTCTATATTACGTGAACAGCATCTCCTCATCGAAATCGCTGTCGTGCTCCAATAGCGATTCCTGCAAAAGAACAGTTTAATATACGTCAAGTTTCCCGCCAAGCGTGACGTCACTTTCGAATACTGCTTTGTTTTTTGATATACATACTCCGATGCGATGATCATGAGAGATACTCACTTTCTCATCGTTGTCCGCGGTTTTGATGTCATCTTTGGATAAACTGCGTTTGCCAGATGACAACATATTCTCGGGAAAATAGGCCCGCGTATCACTTGCAGGCTATAAATGATTGATTCGCACACCTGAATGATTTGTTGCGACGATTAGAATTTAACCTTCCACGAACACCTCGGCCATTTTGACAGAAACCATTCTGTTTTACCGGCCTCGTGACAGTCGTAAGGCAGAATGCACAGAAACCGCAGATCAATACAGTAGATGGCACCATGAGCGATGTACAAATGTACAATAACAGAACAAAATTATTTTTTGTTAAGGGGATCCTAAAGTGAAGTTTGAACTCCAACGAGATCGCTGTTTATCGAAACAAATGCGATACATCTTTAGCGTGCTTTATCCTAAGGATGTCCAACGGATTTTGGGATACGCGTCTTTTAGACGACGCGACGTCCGTGGGATATTCATAAGGTACTCCATGAGATATCACAAATATGTCATTAATTTTCAAACTGCAACCTTTGCTGTACTGTGGACATTTCTATGTTGTGTGATGAAAGGATTTGAATATAGTAAGATATCTTAAAACATTAATATATAGGATACCTTATAGTATCCTACAAAATTTTATATCTTATGATATTTTACGATATTTTTTTGGAATATCCGTGGAATCGCTTTTGTCAATATGACAATTTGAGTATGTATAATTGCGTACATTGTCTGCAGCCCCTTTTTAGTTACAATACTTTATTAATTAAGTCTTATATTATTATTTCTATTAACTAAATTTGTTATGAATATTTTACTTGCTAAGAAACAAGTAAGTCATCTGGCATGATAACAATTACATCGAATTAAAACTATTTCTTATCGTTTTAACTTATCTCTAATCTTTTTGAACTGTTTATTTTTAATCAAAAAAGAAACATTTTGAAAAATAAATGTTATTATGTAATGTCTTTTTTGTAGAAAATTTTGTAAGTATAAGTTGAACGTGTGTATATATGTGTTTCCTTTTATAGCACACGTATTAAATAAATTTTATAAGTTTAGTTTCACTAAAAAAATACTGCCTATCTGTCATCTGAACGTACAAATAAATAATTATTGTAAACAAAAAAAATTAATTTCTATCGCGGTGTCTAACTTACAGCATTGATAATATAATGTTCGCGTTCAGCGTTGCGAAGAAGATCCGTGAACGCTCGCTACTATTGGATGATATAAAAAATTCACTAATAACAGCGAGTGCTCAAGTTGCGGATCCGCTCCGCAACAGTTGAGTCTGCTGAACGCGACTAATATCATATAAATACATAAAATTAGTAGTATCAGAAACTACCAACTGACAAATGCATACAGCAAATTCAATAAGATAGATGCACAATATTACAATCCCATTTTGGAGAAAAAAAATAATATGTGCATTATACGCACGTGAAAAAATTATATAATAATATAATACACTAATTATCTCGATCTTCCTTATTTGACAATCAATTACTGAAAACAAATAATTATAAAAAAGAATCGTTAAGAAGCGACTATATATGTATATAATCCGCAACAATGATTTAATAAATTTATATAGAAATGTTCAAAACGTGATACAGTTCCAAGTATCATTGATTGATTATTTAATCGGTCTGACAGATGACAAAAGTATCTCGACAATAATGCATTCCTAACGATTCAATAAAGAACGGAAATACATATATATCACTTGCAGAAGTATTACTCTCATAGAAGCTGACGCAAACGCGTGTAATACACTGAATCAACTATAGCTTTATCGTTCAATCATCGTCTTCTTGATTTAGATCTGAATTTAACTTTGTGAATTTATATTGCACATTCTTGTCTTTAGATAAGTTTTCTATTCCCAGTTGTACTAGAGAGAGAGTTCGTGTTTTTTTTTTATTATTTTTGTATCTAAAACTTTGCAATTTTCCTTGAATCATATATATTCGGCATTGCATTTCATAATACATATCCTGATCTTGTGTGTGTGATAGTTTTGAAGATTGATAATTTTCACGTTATTGTGACGTATAGAATGACGTATTTGTGTCATAGTATTATTACACATCATGCAACATTATCAGTTCTCCGTAATTTCCCATCGTTATTTCGAAGAATTTTTTCAATTATAACATCATACCGGTCATACATATATCTAATAATATAGAGTACCTATATTACACTCTGAACAATGACTCATGCTTGTAGCAATTTATAGAAACTATGTTAGTATTTCTTACACGTGAGAACTTATTATTAATGAATGACTCATATGCTTACAATTAGAAGTTTCATTTTTCACATGCAGATAAAATCTAATAAATATATGTTCACATACAAAGCGTTGGAAAAGGGGCAAAGCAAAAGTATTTCAAATAATATTTTTTATATATATCTTTATACGTATATCATATATTAATAGCCTTTACATTACATAAAATGTGAAGATTATATACTTTCACATGTAAAACAAAATATATTTTCTTTCCAATTTCACGGATAGCAAACGACATGCCAGCTTTAATTCGCCACGTCATAAGATATCGTCTGTATCTCGATTTTGTAACTCTTAACGACAATTCAGTATCATTATAACAATACTTATAAATTATCATTAAGATTAAATTATAGAATCGGGATACTGGCCAATGCTCTCTCGCAGTTTTAATCGCAGAAATTATTTACAGTTGTTGAAAAACCTTTTGTTAAAAAACAAAAAGGTAAAAATTATTGGGAGTCAAAAAGTGTCTGCCCTCCTAATTAAATTAGTACCTATATGTCCATATTTAAAAAAAAATTTGTATATTCTAAAAGTTACATTAAACTCTACCAAAATTTTTCTCATTAGATATATATACATCATAGAACATATGTACATCTCATTTATCTTTTGTTTATGGTACATCTAACATGCAAGTTGATTCTTTCTTAAAATTAGTATAAGAAAAATATAATGTTTTCTTTAAATACTTTATTTTTATTCATCAAAAATAGTCTTTTCAATGCGCATTTTATGCATATTAAAATAATGTTACAACATATTTTTCTTTTCATTATCCTAATGACATGAAATTATTCTCTACATTCTCAGCTTCTCATACTCACACATTTACTTCTTATAATAAAGACTAAAAAGAATGAAAGGCTCCCACCACTAAACCATCGTAAGCATCATAAGGGATACTGCACGCACCCCGATGACGTTCACAGTGGGGTGCTGATACCAACCACCCACCTACGTCTCGACGCCTGTCGGCGTCGGTCTAGCGACTAACGCGATCGGTCAGAACACGCGGTACCAACGTCGCAAGAGGACTGGCGGTCGACATTGTCGACAAAGGTCGGACCGGTTGCATTCAGTCGTATATTCCACCTCGGATTACATCGATCATCCGAATTCGATCTTGCTTGATGAAAGCGAGATCTTGGCACATTCTCCAATGCCGTCGTTAAGGACTTTTCGCATCGAGTTCGACCGACCGGGCGCTACTTACGAGCCTGGCGAAATCGTCACCGGCGACGTCATCGTTGACCTGGCCAGAGAGAAGACTATCCGAGGTAAATAAACGTACGGTACGTGACTGCCAGGCGCGGCACAAGGCTCGCAGTATCGAGCGATCGCACCCAGTCGTCCCAGTCATGCCAGACTTGCTCCGCACTCGCGCATGCACATTGTTTACAGCTGAGCGCGCAGTGCTGTAGTCATTAAGTGAGGAATAGATCATTTAATACCGTTGTTGAAATCTGTATATTTACGTTTCACAAAGCTGCACAAGATATTACACTGTCACGGACTAAATGCACAAATAGTAAAAAATTTCAACGCGCAATAAAAAGTAAAAAAATTGTTCAAAATTTAAGAACATCTATAAATTTTCAATTTTAATAAACGAGAGTACCCATATAAATGACATAAAACTTTTGTGTATTTTCGTAAAATACATTTCATATCAGTAAATAACAAAGTTGTAATTCATATATTTATAATTGAATTTCCCTTTGGGGCGACTAAGGACGCCATTTCATGAACGGATTAGATACTGTACTGGCACTTTAGACTGCGCGTATGCGTGAGTGCGGGGCATCAGGGCATGTTTGGCATCACTATCGCACCTCTAATGCCATTGGCGCCACACCGACAAGAGCGTTTGGCGCCAGCGAGTGTATGCAGGCATGGATATATGTGTGCGTAAAAATGCGTGCAGTGCGAAACCAGGGCTGTAAAAAATTGGATGTTTATAAGCTCTCGGAAAAATACGTCATTTAAATCGCTCATGATGAACAAATATTTGAATAGATTCTGAATAGAAAAAGTAAAAGAAATCGACGAGTTCAACCGAAGAATTCTTCGAATATTAATTAGCGTCTTAAAAAACGGATTCAAGAACCTCAAAATTTTATAAGTTGGTAAAACAGGAAAAAAAAACCGATAATTATTCTAAAAAAAAGTATTGTTCTAAAAAGGTATTCATTACAATGAAATGAAAATTGTCAAATATAGAAATTTCTGTTACATTATAATGCGATGCATTTATATAGCAATCAAATATAGTCATAATTAAATATTACTACAATATATGCATTCACATAACACAATAGTTTCTATGTCAATATTATCTACAATATACATACACCACGGAAATAATAATTTTCTTTTGTTGGTGGTTATTTAAATGTGCTAATTGTTTGTGTGTAAATTTCTATAGGGGGTTGTCATTACTGACAAAAAGTCCCTGTCATAAAAATATCATTATCAAACATTCAACGTGACATTAAATATTGAGACCATATGGACGAAATGTGGCATGAACATTCATGTTTTCTAGCTTTCATGTTTCAATATTAAAACAGTAACATTATGAAACCTCTTTTCTCTACAAAAATGTTCAACAACTTTATTAATTTATTTAAAAAATTAATTAATTAAATAAAACTTGTTTATTTAATGTTAATTGGATGAAACGAAAGAAATGTCAATTAGATATATGGTCATACCTAGTTATATCGATTCGTGTTATCAGAAACGATATATATACTGACAGTAAGCAAACAAAGACGCTCTGAAATTGTCTCGCTCTCGTATGCGTTTTATAAACAAAGTCGTAGTTATCAAAATGCATTGTACATTACTTTTGATGGATAATATTGGAGTA